TTTTAGTAGAGACGGGGTTTCACCATGTTGACCAGGATGGTCTCGATCTCTTGACCTCGTGATCCACCCGCCTCGGCCTCCCAAAGTGCTGGGATTACAGGCGTGAGCCACCGCGCCGGGCCTATTATTTTTTCTTTTGAGGTGAAGTCTCGCTCTGTCTCACAGGCTGGAGTACAGTGGTGCGATCTCAGCTCATTGCAACCTCCGCCTCCTAGGTTCAAGTGATTTTCCTGCCTCAGCCTCCCAAGTAGCTGGGACTACAGGCATACACCACCACGACTGGCTAAGTTTTGTATTTTTAGTAGAGACAAAGTTTCACTGTGTTAGCCAGGATGGTCTCGATCCCCTGACCACGTGATCCACCTGCCTCGGCCTCACAAAGTGTTGGGATTACAGGCGTGAGCTGCCATGCCCAGCCATGTCTTTTTGAGATGGAGTCTCACTCTGTTGCCCAGGCTGGAGTGCAGTGGTACAATCTCAGCTCACTGCATCCTCCACCTCTCAGGTTCAAGTGATTCTCCTGCCCCAGCCTCCCAAGTAGCTAGGATTATAGGCACGTGCCACCATGCCCAGCTAATTTTTGTATTTTTATTAGAGATGGGATTTCACCGTATTGGCCAGGGTGGTCTCAAACTCCTGACCTCGTGATCCTCCCACCTCGGCCTCCCAAAGTGCTAGGATTACAGGCCTGAGTCACTGTGCCTGGCCGGAAGAGTATATGATCTTTAGATTGTATGATCAGGAAAGGCCCAACTAGGAAGTGATATGTGCCTGAAATGTGAATTACAAGAAAGAGCAATGCAGGCAAACATCTGGGAGGAGCAGCTTGCTTCTATAATCCTAGCACTTTGGGAGGCTGAAGGAGAAGGATAATTTGAGGCCAGGAGTTGGAGACCAGCCTGGGCAACATAGGGAGACTCCATTTCTAGGGAAAAAAAAAAAAAGCCAGGTATGGTGGCTCACCTCTGTAATCCTAGCACTTTGAGAGGCTGAGGTGGGAGGATCACGAGGTCAGGAGTTTGAGACCACCCTGGCCAATATGGTGAAATCCCATCTCTAATAAAAATACAAAAATTAGCCAGGCATGGTGGTACATGCCTGGAGTCCCAGCTACTTGGGAGCCCGAGGCAAAAAAATCACTTGAACCTAGGAGGTGGAAGTTGCAGTGAGCCGAGATCACACCACTGTACTACAGCCTGGATAATAAGAGCAAAACTCTGTCTCAAAAAAAAAAAAAAAAAAAAAAAAAAAGATGGGGTTTCACCATGATGGCCAGGCTGGTCTTGAACTCCTGATCTCAGGTGATCCACCCATCTTGGCCTCCCAAAGTGCTAGGATTATAGGCGTGAGCCACTGCGCCTGGCCAGGATTACATTTTTCATAGAAGATTGGTGCATAGTTACAGCAATTTGGTTGGCTATAGACAATATTTCTTTTTGGAAAGAGACATGTAACATTTTTTTACAGAGGATGAAATAGTCATGGATTTTCTGTCATGTAGTCTAAGCAAAGCAGGACAACAAAAGGCAAGTTAATCTATAGCAAGGGTCATTCATTAAGAAGGCAGGAGGTTTTTGTCCCTGACGTCATTTAAGTCTCTAGTCAATGTAGAGAACAAGACAAATAAGAAAGTGAGTTAATCTATAATCTGAGAACAGAAATTGTAAACTGTATGTGACTCGAAGTCACATCTCTCTCGAGGCTTAAAGTGTTTTTTGGGATTCCAACAGGTTTTTGTTTTTTTTTTTAAGATGGAGTCGTGCTCTGTCGCCCAGCCTTGAGTGCAGTGGTGCAATCTCAGCTCACTGCAACCTCCTCCTCCCAGGCTCAAGGGATTCTCCTTCCTCAAGCCCCAGAGTAGCTGAGATTATAGGCGCCTGCCACCGCGCCCAGCTAATTTTTGTATTTTTAGTAGAGACAGGATTTTACCATCTTGGCTAGGCTGGTCTCGAAGTTCTGACCTTGAGATCCACTAGCCTCAGACTCCCAAAGTGCTGTGATTACAGGTGTGAGCCACCGTTCTGTAGATTATTACGAGAATTAAGGGAGGTAATTATATAAAGGGCTTTACACAGTGTCTGGCATCTAGGAAGAAAGCAGTAAGTGGTAGCCTATAAATATATTTTTATTTTATTATTATTTTTTCTTTTTTCTTTTTTTTAATTATTTTTTCTTTTTTCTTTTT